TAAAAAATGTTGGATTCAATTTTATCTTTTTAATCTCTCCCTCATCATTAAGAAATGGAGAAGATTCAGGATTGTTGTCAAAGAAATTAATTCATACCCAACAGAAAGTTTGACATCTTAATAATAATAATAATAATAATTCAGCAATAAAACATTTAAATAATCACTGCAAAGACAGTAATCTGGAATTCTTGTAAACTAATTAAATGTGTTCCTTTCACTGGTTTAAAAGAAAAAACAAACCTTTCCAGTGACAGAACAGAACTTTCTAAACATTTAATGTTTTGGGATTTTTGTTATTATTTTTAGGACACTATTTTTTTAATCTGAAAGACACTTAAATTACTATACCTTGGTCAGATTAAACACAGCTTTACACAATTTTTACAGCCAAGCTTATTAACTACCAGAAAGCCACCACTTTGTCACTAAATATATATATGTATAATTAATATTCTCTCTGTAGGGTATCGGCAGCACCCCCGGGAGTAACTTAAAAGTGTCTTGCGTCAGTCCGTTCAAAAACACTTAACTGCCATCTAGTGGCTGAGTAGATGATTTCTTTAAGATGCCTTTCAGGCTCTAATTAAACACTTCGTCGCTAAATTATAATATTTCTGCTTGCGTTGTCATTCTTCCTTTAAGGCCTAAGAAATCTCAGCATTCTCGGAAAACAGTGTTTTAATCACAAATTTCAGCTACTAGTCATATAGGAAGAAGAACATAATAGAAAATACAAACTCTATTTAAGCTATACTGAGGTCTCAACTCAAGAGAACCTCACTTCATATTTTTAAAACTTGAATTAATAATCTGCTACAGTTATAGAACATCAAAAATCTATTAGTGCTTATTAGGCTTTCTATAAACAAACCAAATAGAAACCTGAAAATTGCAGCATGTTTAAACTGGAGAGTAAGTTCTAATGCTAAGAATCAAAGAGATTTCCATCAATTCAACAGCAAAGTTCTGCATAATAACTATATTCAATGAAGATAAGATCGCAGAAACACAGAATTTTCATGGTTGGAAAAGACCTCCAGGATCACCTAGTACAACAGGGGTAGGGGGGGATGGAGGGAACAACACAACCTGAACAAACAACCACCAAAAAAGCCCCATAACCACACACCCCACAGAACCAACACCACCACACAGCCCACAAAAATCCCACCATGCCCACTAGAGCATGCCCTGAAGTGCCGCATCTACACGTTTCTTTAATACCTCCAGGGATGGTGACTCCACACCTCCCTGGGCAGTCTATACCAGTGCCTGACTGCTCCTTCAGTAAAGAAATTCTTCCTAATACCTAGTTTAAACCTTCCCTGGCTTGTAAAGATGGTATACCCGATCGGCATTTATGTCCTGGAGTGAAGTTCACCAGAAGTTAAGCTCCCCTTTATTGCCTGAGCAAAATGCTCCGCATTTCAGCATTTCCTATGACCCCAGCAAAGTCTGTTGCCAGGTTTCTATAATCTCATTTCACACAAACTGTTTCCTTTCTGTTAATTGCTGATAAAGCAAAATTTATTCTCAAGGCTAGAAAGAAAATGTTATCTGCCTATATGCTTCCATATATTCACCTGATTTAAGCTACAATATCCCAATTCTAACATTATACACTGGACCTACCATTAGAACGTAAGTTTCTGTACACCACACATTGCAAGTCTGTCTTTATTTTTCTTAAGGTAAGAACCAAACAGATTTACACCTCTGCATTTTTTCGCCTTTTTTTTTCCTCCTGTTATTGGGGTCTTCTAGCATGATGTTTCAGGAATTATACACATTGATAGAGTTCTCCTTAAAACAATATATTCAATTCTATCTGTCACCACAAAGACCATCAGTTAGCTATAGTATTTATCTTGAAAAATGCAACAGATACACTCCTCACTATCATGTGGCTAATTTGGAAAACTTCCAAAAATGTTTGCTTCATTCAGGTTCCCTTCTTTCTTCAGTGAGACAACTAAGTATAGTAGATTCTTGTGACTATATTATACATTTTTATTGTTAATTTTTACCTAAACGTGTACCTTTAGCAATTGTACTTTTTTAGGAAAAGAATCGTCTTAGAAGAATTGTTATTGCCTCCCTAAGCCTTCTCTTCTTCCTTATAAAAAGTAATTCAGCAAGCAGTGAAGGGACAGAATAGGAGTGTCACATGTTCCCAGGACTACAGGGTTCTGAATGAATAAATGACGGAGTGTAAAAAAAGCCACAACCACAACCTGATTTGTGAGTACATAAAGCAAGAGTTCAAAGTTTCCTCCAATTTCTGTTGAACACAATTGTAAGCCAGTCTCATCTGTAGTTTGCCTCTAATCTGGTGAAAGCTATGTAATATCAAAATAAAACAGGTTTTAATAATCTTGCTTTTTAATTTTATCAATTTTGTATATGTAGTAGAATAATTTTAACATTTCAGACTAATCTTACCTTCTCTATCTTACCTTCACCTGTAAAAAATCATCTTTCTGAAATTTCATCTAAGAGTTTAGAGCAGCGTGCATGCTTCTAAGATGAAGTCTAGCTGTGACATTTTATAATAATGAAAAGTAAACCTCAGTCCTACCAATATGTTATACTTTCTAAATAGACTGATTATATATTTATCTTAAAGAATTTCACATTTGTTCTTCTATTATTAAGTGTCAAAATTGGAACATGTCAAATGTCACTTAGTTATTACCCTAAGGAGCTATAATAATTTCTAGTTAAAGAATACAGTAAGAAAAGAGGTCGCAGGTGAGAGAGGGGTTACCAGCAAACTCTGGTAGTAGAATAATCTGAAGAGACACTCAAAGGAGTCAGACTTCTAATGTACTCAAAAGTGGAAAGTACATTCAGCATAGCAAAATGTGTCCTGTAATTTAAGTTTTTTAAGGATAGAATTGCTTCTCTATGATATTGTTGGAAAGCACAACAATAGCTCATGCAGCATAGATCTGCCTTTAGTGCCCGAGAACTACCAAATTTTGTCTGGTTGTTACTACCAGTTGAGGTACATGGTGTTTCAAGAAGGCATATAATTTTGGTAGAGGGATTAGTTCTTGTTTTAAATGGGGTGAACTAAACCAAAGTGAACTGAGATGGAAACGTTACAGGCATAAGAATTTTTTTTATTGCAAGCTTTTCCACTATAAAAAGAGCTTAAATATTCAGTGTAAACTATCTTATAACCAGACTGCTAGAAATTGAAACAGCCTGGCAAAACAATCTCCTGAGACAGGATTACAGAGATCAGCCACTATCAATGTCAGGAAGAACTCCTCATTATATCTGGTTGCTGACCTTTAAATAAATGTAATGAGGGCTTTCTTTTTAAATTTGTGTGATTTGACTCAGAATAAGCATTTATCATAAAATATCAAAAAGAAGAAAGTTAAAATTATGTTTATAATAAGGCATATAGGAAAACAAAGAATTTAGGCAACTTCTAAATAACTTCAAATTTTTGGTTCTGTGATGTCCTACTACTACCCAAACACTATTTTTCATGTACTCATTTTACAGTTATAAAATGTTGCATTTTTGTTAGTTTTTGTATCTTTCTGCAAAGTCTCTGTTTTTACCTACCATGTAAACCAAATGTAACAAATGTGAAAATTGAGTTAAAATGAAGGGAAAATTTCAGGGGTATCACAAAAGATCAGATGAAAACCAAAGGAAATTGGCTCTTGCACAAAAGTAGAGCTGTAAAATCTAAACATCAGTTTTGAAGCTGGAATTTCTAAATTAAGACAGTCAATTCTTCTCTTCTTCCCTCTCTAAAGGCGTTCAGCCTATCAAAGCTTACTTTGCTCATACGAGGAAGACTAAGTAGACTTTATTGCTGCTCTTTCACATTTCCAGGATTTGAAATGGCTGTAATTTTTCTTATTTTAACTCTACTTAGCAATTCCTGCACTAAAAGCAAGCACATCCGGTTCTCTTTTTTTTTAATTGTAATTTTTAGAAATTAGAAATTTGGACTAAAAAAAGACATCTTAAAAACTTAATCACTTATTTGGCTATCTTCATCCAATGCTTGCTTTCTTCAGAAGGAAAAACTATGGACAAACTAGACGAAGAATATAAGAGAGTAGATCTCTCACAGAAACATTTTCACACACACAAAAAAAATCAAGTCTTTTGAGGAAACAAAATCTGAAGTTCCTCAACGCCATCAAACTGCACCACATGTAAAGAAGAATATAACATGCATGGTGATAGAAAAAAAAACAACAAACCTAGACTGTGTTTATGTTGAGCAACCCAGACTAAATCTCCACTGTAGTAGTATTACATAATCTCCTTTTGAAGTCCAGCATGGCACTCTTAAAGCGTTCACCAACCACCTATAAGTTTCAGTGGAGAAATGGGAAAAAAAAAATAATCTCTGCCCCTTTTATTCACATCAACTTTTGCAGATTTTTATTGCTGTTCCTTAGTACCACCAGAGCTTCAGAACCAAGTTCTAACTTTCTTCTGAGTGAACAATAAATAAAACATCATGGTGATAGAAAAAAAAACAACAAACCTAGACTGTGTTTATGTTGAGCAACCCAGACTAAATCTCCACTGTAGTAGTATTACATAATCTCCTTTTGAAGTCCAGCATGGCACTCTTAAAGCGTTCACCAACCACCTATAAGTTTCAGTGGAGAAATGGGAAAAAAAAAATAATCTCTGCCCCTTTTATTCACATCAACTTTTGCAGATTTTTATTGCTGTTCCTTAGTACCACCAGAGCTTCAGAACCAAGTTCTAACTTTCTTCTGAGTGAACAATAACATTTGTAAAAGAACATTTTAAGCAGGCAGGAACCTGGAATCTCTGCAACCAGATATGCTATGGAGCTTGTAAGTAATTTGAAAGAACAACAAAAAAATCCACTTCTGAATGTTTGCGTTCAGAACATAGGGTACACAAAACTACTGCAATAAAGCCTAAAGTACTGCTTTTAGTCTTTTTACAAAATGATAGACAAAACACTTCTGTTAGGATCTTACCTGTATCTGCTGAAAATCTTCTGTGTATTGTTTCTCTGCTTCTAGAACTGTAGATTTTACCTCTAAATTTGAAAAAAAAAGATACAGATTTTGAAAGTTCTATCTATTAAAAAAATAATTACTCTTTTAAATTACAAATTACAATTTCTTTAAAAGACATTAAAGTTAAAAAGAAAACAATATTAACTGTCCCACATTCCAAATTATCCATTTAAAATTAAATTAACAGGTATGCATAAATTATGCCAGCCTGATCTCAAGTTGCCATGTATTTATTATTACTAAGCATCAAATATTGTCTGAAATGTGTAGCACATGAAACTTGAAAAAAGTTCATTCTGATTGTCAACATTTCTGACTCAAGGAAAAATAGTTACTTGTAGCTATACTATATACACTCCATAGAAGGCGATGGAAAAGGAGTTTTCAGGCTTATTCTTCCCATCTGTTCTAATTAAGAAGTGTTTCTATCCTTAAGGTCTGCAGATTGTGGCAGTTCACAAAAGGCGAAAAGAACCCATGAGCAGGAGAATGACTGTTGGCAGGTTTGTTGTCATTTTCATAAGGCCCTCCTTTGCCCTACCATCCATTTTTGAGATCTCCTCAATAGGACAGATAGTGATACTGATCTACACTCACATTTTAAAAGTCATCTTGAATGTAATTTGCCTTGCTATTGCAAATACATTTTGAGAAACCTCAGTTTCATCCTAGCTTCGTTATTCACTGTCTACAGCATCTCAGCCTTACAGAGGGATGGAACTTTCCAGAACTGGGAATATTCAAGCTAAGATCCCAAAACTAATTTCTTGCCTATGTACAGAATTCCACACCCTCTCTTTTGGGCATAGAACCAGCATTAATTTGACTTCTTGTAGTTCGACCACATTAATCATTTACATTAAAAAATGAAACAGCAGTACTTCATTCTAGTAGTCTTCTTCAATTGTTTTCTACTTTTGAATAACTAATGAGAAACCTAATGAACATCTAAGCAGTCCTTTACTTAATTACTGTCTTTAAATAAAGGAAAAAACATTTGAGATATTTGTTTTACAAATTACCTGGAATAGAAACATTTTGGCTAACCCTACCTCAACTAATTTGCAAAACCAGGAAAGCGTCACTAGTATTTTGACACTGGTGATCTCCCCAGGCCCTGTGTACATAATTTTAGATTCATCTGTGGTTAAGAAAAACTTGAAGATTGACTTGATCTTTGCTCATCCCAGGTTAAATTCTTGGCTAATGCTCTAGTACTAGATAAGACATGTATACTCACAACTTACAAAATAACATTTGTTGTTATGTAAATTGGAATTGACTACTGTATTTACTCAAAAGATCTTAAAAAAAATAGGAACAGGCTGGTCCTATACATTTCTCAATATTTTAAAAATTGACAGCATTGTCTAGCTTATTTTTACTTCAGACAGTTTTAGTTCTACCAGGGTTTCCAAATATAAGCTGAGTTCAAGGTGATACGAGCAGATAACTAAGGTTAGTTTACCAAAATTCACTAAAAACAAACTGTTTGCAACAAACTAAAAGGTTCTATCTTTGTTAAGCAAATTTAAAAAACAGAATTAAACCCCAACACCACAAAAAAAAAGTTAAGAAAAGGAAAAAAGTGTCACATGAAAAACTAAACACTTCCTTATGCTTGAAATTAACATTTATTTCCTAATTTTTCATAAAGCAAAATAAATAAATGTCTGGACAAGCCTAGTTTTGTTAAAGAGACTAACTAAGATTTCTGACTGTAAACCTACACAGGGATTTAGCATGTTGGGACTGTTTCCTTTTGCAGAGGTTGAATACTCAAAAGAGTCTCTGGTCAGATGGTTAGGACAATCACCTGTGAGACAGGATGACTGGGCTCTAGTGTGTGTATGCTTGCATTTTCCGGTATGTCAAGTAAAACTGTATCAACAGCAAAATATTAAAATAATCAAATTTCAAATACCCTATTGTGATTAGATTCAGGCAATGGGCTGGGGTGTGGGAGTGGCAGAATAAAATCAAGGAATCACAGAATGGTTTGGGTTGGAAGAAACCTTGAAGATTATCTAGTTCCAAACATGGGCAGGGACACCTCCCACTAGACCAGGTGGCTCAAAGCCCCATTCATGAAGCCTGACCTTGAACACTTCTACGGAGAGGGCATCCACAACTTCCCTGGGCAACCTGTGCCAGTGTCTCACCACACTCACATTAAAGAGTTTCTTCCTAATGTCTAATCTAAATCTACCCCCTTTCAGCTTAAAATCGTTCCTCCCTCTTGCTACATGCCCTTGTAAGAAGTCTCTCCTCAGCTTTCCTGCAGGTCACTTTCAGGTAGTGAAAGGCAGCTATAAAGTCTCCCTGGAGCCTTCTCTTCTCCAGGCTCTCTCAGCCTGTCTTCATAGGAGAGATGCTTCAGCCCTCTGATCATCTTCATAGCCCTCCTCTGGACTTGCTGAAACAGCTCCATGGTCTTCTTGTGCTGGAGGCTCCAGAGCTGGACACAGTACTCCAGGTGCCGTCTCACGAGAGCAGAGTTGAGGGGGAGAATCACCCCCCTTATCAGTTGAGGGGGACAATCACCCCCCTTATCTTGCTGGCCATGCTTCTTTTGATGCAGCCCAGGATAGAGCTGGCTTTCTGGGCTGCAGGCACATATTGCTGGCTCATATTGAGCTTTTCATCTGCCAACACCCCCAAGTCCTTCTCCTCAGAGTTGCTTTCAATCCATTCTCCGCCCTGTATTTGTGCTTGGGATTGTCCCAACCCAGGTGCAGAACCTTGTCAGGCATGATTTTCTCCTAGTGAAGATATGCTTGCTGTCACCACTCAACTTCTTGTTTTCCATGTGTCTTAGCATAGCTTACAGGAGGATGTGCTCCATGATCTCACCAGATATAAAGGTGAGATTGACAGACCTGTATTTCACTGGGTCTTCTTTTTTACCCTTTGAAAAATGGTGGTTCTTTTTCCCTTTTCTAGTCACTGACAACTTCACTGTACTGCCATGATTTATCCATAAGAAGCAACAGGAACAGATTTTGGCTATTCAGATAGAAAATCAGTGGCAAATATGCTGATCTTATTGATGATATTGACTTATTTTGTCCAAAAACTTTTCTGAATTCAGACTGAAAATTGATTTTTGCATAAGTACTTGCTGACCTGAACCCAAATTCATATTAAGTATTTCCAAACTTCAGCTTTTTAATAGTCAACCTGAAAAAGAACTTGAAATAAACGAAAAAAAAACAACCAACCCCAAACAACCTGACCAAAAAACCACACAAAAAAACCCCAAGCCTTTTCCTCACACCCCACAACATTCCACATAACAGAGCACACATTAAACAGATTGCTAATTACTTTTCTAATTTAGAAACAGATTAACAAAGACCTTGCAGATTTTCCTCTTGCTTACTTGAAACTTGAAGGTCTAGTATTGTCCTCATGCTAACGTGTATAATAAAAATAAATATCCTACTTATAAAATATCCTGCTACATTCCTCCCTGGATCAATACTTTGATCTAAAAAGTTCTGGGGTTTTTTTGTTTGTAAACCATTGTCTCGTATTTTAATATTGTATCTGTTTAATCCATACAGCAATGTTTACATATAATGCAAAATACAGCTATTCTACCCAGAGTGATTTAAATCCTTTAGAAATGCTTGCCATCCCCATCTTTCAAAGGTGATAATTGACATAAGATAATTGAGTTACAAATCTTGGGGAAGATGTTTATACTTCAGGTTTCACATGAAAACATCACTCACCTCCAGATTCTTCCACAATGCAAGCATGCAAACAATCAAAGAAAAAGTTATATTATTCATCTGCCTGAATTATATTCAGAGCAATTATATTTTTTCCTATTCCCTCCATATCCTACACTGCAAATTCACATCAAAAAGCAACATTTCAATAATAATAATAATACTAATAAGTGTCAGCTCTTCAAGTAAATTTTTGAGAACTACTTATGTTCCATTTGAAAATAGTCACAATCCACAACTTTCACTTTTACTTGAATTATATTTTCTTAATATTTTTGCAGTTTTTGAGAGGGCAGTGGCTGTGATAAGGAATGGACAAGTACTGCACATCTTACATCCACATAGTAGGTAAAATATTAAATAGAACAACATAGGATGGAAACAAACCACATATAAAATGGATACATTTAAAATTGTTTGTTTTATCCTTTTGGGAGAAATACCTTCCAAATGGTAAAAATAGTAAAAATATTTAGATTTAAAACTATTTTATGTAAACAATGCTTTCCTAGATTTTAGAATAAACAAGCTATTTTTAGCTCACACCAGCTTCAGCCAGGATTAAACCACAAAGTAAAATAATAAACTATTTGCCCCTTTGTTTTTCCAGTGCAAAGCATGCTCATAAACATTCTGATCATACATCCATTAGCTATGTGTCCAATTTGAAAAACACAACCTTTCCTCTCAGAGTACATGGCAAGGAATTCTATTACTTTAATTGAATACAGTATAAAATACTAGGACATTAGTCCAAAACTAGACTAGACCAAGAGTGCAGTACTACAGCTTCCTGCATTCTGAATTGCATCAGTGAAATGGATGCAGAAACACTTCCTAGACCACTAATAGAGCTGTTCTGGTAAAAGCCACAGCATAAACAGAATAATTTTGCAGTATTGCATTTTTGTTGGCATCACTTGTTAACACTGGAATAAGTGACATCAGTAAAAGTGAAGTGTTGCCATGATAAATGGTGTCCATGTAAGGAATACTTCGCTTGTGTTCCAGAGGAAGCAGTACAGGAATCACAAAAAGAAGCAAAGCTGAAATTAACTCCACCCAAATCCTACAAGCAATACAAAGAGATCTGTTGAAATAATGACTTAATTCTTCAAATGTGAGCATTTTTTATTTTTTTTTTAAAAAAAAAGGACTGTTGGGAAATGGAAAATCTGAGTATACTCTGGCTCTCCATGGAGGTCATAGGGATGAATACGGTATGAAAGCGTTGAGAGCCACTGAATACTAACTAATGTATATTTAAGCCTCCAAGAACCTGTGGCATTTACCCATCAGCACTACTAACAGAAAACAGGTTTGAAATTCTCTTCCAAATTTCTTTGTTTTGCAAAGGGGTTTGTTTTAATTCTCAGTTTCAACAAAGCTTTTAATGAGTATGCAAAAGGTTTTTGAAATTTGGCTGGTAGAGTAACCTCACAAATTTTAAAATAAACTGGCATTTTAAACAAGACCTCAGTTTAGGTTTTAGATAATTTTTTCTACCTCTCTTTCAGCAGGGGTCTGCTGAATCCACAAAGGAATACCTTACACCACTCAAAAAGCTTTCAGTACATCACCAGTGGTCTTCTGAAGTGTTCCACATTTTTAAGAAAACTACCTATATTTCATGGCTCAGAAGGTATGCAAATTGGTAAAGAACATCACAACAGCTGGTAAAATCCATTAGTCAGCATATCAGCATAGCTCCACATCTTGGTTGTTAACAAAAAGCATGCATTTTTGCTGAATATTTTTTCACAGATTAGTACTAGCTAACATTATTTCTGCTGTTAATCCAAGATCTTCAAAACCAGGTGTTAAAAGTTAAGACATTAAGTTTATATCTTAGATTCTAAAAGACAGCAGCTTCCCCTCATGCCAGACATACATCTTGTCTGTGTCCAAGAACTATACCTTCTTCAGTAATTTTGAGTCTTCGTTCTTCATCTGGAGGTTTGGGTGGGGGCCACACAGGTGGAATTTTCCTTGGAAAGTTTCCTTCAATGTAATCTGATGAATGTGTGGGTTGGCTAACTGCAGCCCAAGTATAAAGCTGGTCTTGCTGTGGTTATTAAAGAGAAAAAAAATAATAATTAAAAAAAAACAAAACAAAAACAACAAGTTGAGAAGTTCATATAGAAAGACAAGCTCAAAATATCAAAGCCTTTGTTTCCAACACAAATAGCTCAATATCCGCTCCTATGGCAAGGCAGATTTGTTTTTAATGTCTTCATCACCTGACAAGGATTTAAGTCTATATTAAAATAATTTAATATTTCAGTTTTGAAATTACCTCATTATAGATAGAAAATCTAATATTTTAGTTAACTACAGCACAAGCTAGAATACACGAGGAATTCTTCACCACTTCTTTCCTTTTTGCACAAGGAATTCTTCACCACTTCTTTCCTTAGAGAGATAACAGGTTCTGTCTCTTATGACTGTACTTCTTCACATAGTTAGGCTAGTTTGTAGGTTAGAGAAAAATATTTGAGTTCACAGTCTAACCTTTTTATGCCAAATGAACAAGCAAGGAAAAGAAGCAGGCTTATTTTGGCATTAATTAAACTGAGATATTTATTCTTTGCAACCCTGTTTTGTTATTTATATCTATATTCATAGAAAGGGAGCTAAAAAGGTGTGTCTGCTCTTAGAATAAAATTTTAAAAAAACAACAAACAACAGCTAGAAGTATTCTCAATCCGCTGGGCTCAAATCAGATTATATCCTTATTACTCAATTCCTTTGAGTGTGATTTATTTACTAAAAGTAGGAGGCATCCAGACTATTTGATGAAAATTAGGGCAAACTTATGCTTTAAGCCAACAAAGATCTTAGCTAACCAAAATTCAAGTAGTTATTTTATTACTCCCAGTATATATCAACATGCACATGTTGTGATTAAAACTTTATAATACTGTAAATGCTATAGAGATCAATCACAGCAATTACATGAGTATCCTAGTAAGTGATCTGGAAATATGCAAATATTGTAGTAAGAAACTGGGGGGAAATATGATGTTACAGAATGAAAATACAGTCATATCACACAGTCACATCTTCCTACAAATATCATATTCATTACACTTCATTCGTGCTGTTGCCTGAGTAAAACACTGGAAACTTATTTAATTTTTAGATAAAAACTTTTTTTTTTTTTTTTTTTAAGTTTACACAGTCTACATTGAAGAGACATGCAGAAGGAAGAACAAAATAATTTAATACTTTTTGGGGATAATCACTATCCCATGTGACTCAACTTCTTCTTGCCTAAAAATATATTGTGATGAGTGATAATATTCTATCGAAAACAATTTAGAACAAATGATGGATATAAAGTAAAAAGTTTTGGTTTAGAGAGGGTGCCTCAAACAATCAGGGTCAAAGGAAACTCATTACATCTTTCAGCATGAAAAAGATGGCAAAAATCCAACTATATACGCAGACTTTAGATAAGGGTAAAAAAAAAAAAAAAAGGATAAAAACTTAATACAAAAATCACATCAGGTTCTTTACATAGCCCTGAACTGTGTTACTTGAAAAGCCTATCCTTTTCTCAGTACTATGCTACTGCATTTGAACATCCAAACAGGCTTGATTAATGCAGTTCTTACAGTAAGTTGTTACTTTCCCCCTTTGTCTAATTCCAGTTTTTTAGGGGATGTGTTTTTTTTGTGTTTCTGCCAGTGCTGTACATACTGTGTAAATAAAAATGCTGCATTTTGCTCTTTGCCTTGCTTCTGCATCATCCAAATCTTAAAATCACAGAGGAAAGTAAGATTCAACTCATCAAGGCAAAGCAGAACAAATTTTTTTTAGCCCACCCTATTACCTTACTTAGCCCAGGGAATACAGGGAAGAACCAGCTCTACAGAGGTAGCTGGGTAAGCAGTCAACTTTTAGCAGGATTACGTGTAGGGTTATTGGGTAAGACAGAAGACGAGACTGTAAATAATATTGGCATGAATAAGGAAGACAAACAGTTGATCTATTCCTGAATGTGGTATTTCACCATGCAAATTCTCGAAAGGTACATTATAATAGCTTAACAGCATTTTTTTAAAGTAGTCTACCTGAATTAAGATATTAAAAAACCAAAACATGGTATGTCTCAGAATTACTGAACAGATATATTATGAGGGTAATAAAATATGAAGTACCTATGTTCTTCTTGATAGAATTTACAGCATATAAACTATGAACAGTTATAAATTAAGACATCACACAACTCCATAAGCAACTTGTAATCCAGCATTGGAGATTTGTTTGCAAGTACAAAAGACAGTATTTTTTGTTTGTGTCGTTTTTTAGTTTGGTATTCCTCTCATTCACTGTTCAACACAGAGAAGGATGATGGAATAGACACATCACGTAAAAGAAATTTACAGAGCTAAATGTAACTTACAAAAATGCCTTGAAGGGACTTGCACAACAACCAAAATATGTGTTCAACATATAAACAAGGTATTTAGCAACAGTTACACTAAGACTACTTGCAGGCTATTTGTCATTTAAAAATATTAAAAACCCTTATGACAAACAGGTACCCTGAAGGTCTGGTCTTCAAGTTGATATCCCATAAATTACACTTTAAATGAGAAAAAATTAACTCTGCCACAACTTTCATGCCCTTCAGAAGATATGAATCATTTGAACGTCCTAATTTCTACTCACTCAAGATACTGCCCAAAATCTAGTCCTTTTTACCTTGTCTTTATCTAGTATACTAAACCATCTCATTTCTCCTTTTCAAAATGTTATAATGCCATATATCAGCATGATTATTTGAATATTTAGAAGCAAGATTTTTGCAGCTAATTCTATGATGCTGAAGTACTATTCAAACAAAAGAAACAAAATAATCCAATTTTTTAAAAAAAATCCCAATTGTTTTCCACTAATAACTGTAATAAAAACATCCACCAACATGGATGTCCACATCCAACTTATTCTTCTATAATCTTTTAATTTTAGAGACAATTTTTACTAGACATCATTTTAAGTACAGCCAGTGAATACTCTTACCGTGATCAAGCTGGAATTTCCACTTCAACTTGCTCAGACTTCACTACCTAGTGTTTAAAGCACTTCTTTTGAAGAAAAAAAAAAAACAACAAACAAAATATGTATCTCCTTGTAAAGAATTATTCCAGTCCTATTTATTCAGACTCTTTTCCAGGTGGACATTGAAAGCTTAACGCTGAGTCCAGTGCACTAAACATGATGTCAAGAGTTGTTCTTTCCACACATCCTTACACAGCACTTTCCACTGGTTCTTAAAACTGCAGAGCATTCACACACGGGTGAGGCAAGCTGCCTGCAGGATCTGATGGTATGTAATCAATAGACGTTTTACCACTTATAGATGTGAACATTTAGAATAGAGCCATAGAGAGTCAGGTCTGTAGTTTAACTCATTCTCTTCCCAGCTAGCCCTCAGCAAGCACTAAGAATGGCTTTTTGTAAGTAGTTTTCATTCTTGAGTACCACAGTGTTATATTTCAAATACATAATATATTAAATATGAATCATGTTCTTTGCCACTTGAGCCAAGATAAGCTTTTCTGGTAACCTTTAAAGAAGGAAGCCAATACTGTAAGCTGCTTAAAGCAAGGGCTTCTAGCAAATGCCATATAGAAAAAGGCTGGTGAACCCAGAACTTGGGCCATGATCTGCAGTCAACGTCAGAAGGCATACTGGTGGACCTTGAGCTTCCAGAAACGGGGTCACACATTGTTCACACAGGTTTGCCGGGTTTCTCTCCAGTGCTACAGACTGAATTAGAGATTAGTTTACCGCCCACTGTAGAAGTACAATATGCAACCTTGAACCTATGCTTTTGGCAGCTGTGTTGCTCCTGGATATATGCAGGTAATAAGACCTTCTGTTCAACACCACTCCAGGTTACTTTTTTTCTAACTGTTTGTCTGCTTCCAGTTTGAAGGACAAAGAGGATGACTGAGCGAAATGCTTTATAAGAGGTACAGGAGATGAAGCTGAAACAGCAATTAATGTATACAAATCTGTCCAGACTGGTAGCAAAAACATGAATTAGCCATGTAAGAATCAAGGGGAAAAAAATCTGACCAGAAGTATTTTGACAAAAAAAAAAGTACAGTGAGAACATGTGTATTGAGATGAGAAAGGTGGGGCAGTAGAGAAGCACACTGCTATCAGGAGTAGTCTCTGCGCTTCAGCTCAGCTTAGCAGTAGATGAGGAAGAACATTAGCAGTACCTCTAAACTTTCTTACAGTAAGGTGAATTGGTACTAACTTTCCTGATGGCTCTCGTGTTAAGCCATGATGGAATCAGACCCTAATTTGTGAGCCATTTATTTTCAGATAGTAAAATTCCACTCATTAGAACCTCAAACAATAGAAGTAATCCTGAAGAGGGGAGGACAGAAGGGTTGGCATGCCAACAGGCAAGAATAAATGGACCAGGACTAAACACAGAATCATAGTTACAAGAAAATTCCTACTCATCAAATCAGTCTGGATGTGGACAGTCTTCCAATGCGAAGAGCTGGAGGAGTGGAGAGAGGAAAAACTACAACTGCATTTAAGATGAAATAAAACTCAGAGGGATCAGATGTTGTGGTACTAAGGATAACCAGGGGCAGGACTCCATGATTCAAAGGTGTTTTCCAGCCTAAGAGCTCCAAAGAGCTTGTTCCATATTTGTATACAACTGCTGATCATTTAGACTGTTTCATTTTTCCCATTCAGGAAGTTTAATCATTTCAATATACTAAGTATATAACCTGTAAAATGAAAGCAAGACAATTGAATGTTCTCACTGTATATAAACAGTTAATTGGACAAGCAAGGTTTTAGTTCAAGAAATTAAAGCTGAACTAGCTCAAAATGCTCTTATCAGCAAGAGGCAGCTTTATTTTAAGCAGCTTTTAAAATAGATAAATCAATACTATCAAGAATGGGCAAAGTGATTTACTTTTTGAGGAGAGGTTCAGTAAAAAAGCTCCATCTGACCACTGACAGAATCAGAACAGTCAGAAACATGGCTCTGGGCTTGTAATACTAGTGAGCACAGATGCCTTC